AAAATAGTATTTTTAAAGAAAAATTCTAGTTTTTTAACTTATAAATATTTCTCTCAATATCCTCTCAGTTTGATTTGTAATCAAATTTCTGTGACCCTTTTCCATGTTGCAATCTTCGCATCCAATTCCATATTAAGTTTTTTTGTTTTGCACATTAAACTCATGAATTCTCCAACCTTTTGGCGAAATAATTTTTGTTTATGCATTTAACCATTAATCAATATTTTACCAAAATCGTATGGTTTTTTATAATTTTTTATGTTTTTATTTGTTTTTGGCGTTCTCATGGAAAGATTTTAAAACCTAAAATTTTCACTTTCTTTTCGGTAATACCTTTTGCCTTTTATGTTGTGTACCGTTTTTGTTTTATTTTAATTTTTTTTTTATTACTGCATTCTTTTATGAGACCTCTTACCACTACGCCAAATTATCGCATTAAGCTTCTCTATTTTGCTTTAGTATTTTGTTTTCTTTTTCCCCTCATTTTTTTAAATCCCTTTACATATTTTTGTGATTTTATATTTACTCGCTGTATTTTATCTTATAATTCTTAATGCCTTAATTTTAATCATAATTTTTTCTTAATTTTTACATTGCATTACTCATGCTCTCTTCTTTTTCTCTCTCTCTCGCTCTCTCTCTTTAACACAACCACACACTCATACAAACATCGGTTTCGCATTAAAGGTTCCTCGCATGTCCGAATAAGTTAAATTTCTGCAGGGATGTCATGAATGTTATCGACATAATCGCCATCATTCCGTATTTTATAACATTGGCGACCGTCGTCGCCGAAGAGGAGGATACGTTAAATCTTCCAAAAGCGCCAGTCAGTCCACAGGTATGTTTTCTTGTGTGAGAAATTTATGCACAAAATAATAATAAAAAAAGTTTTTAGTTTAAATTATTTATATTTGTATATCGCTTAGTAACAACAACACAAAAATACTCGAATAAAAAACCAAACACGTCCATATCAATAAGTTATTAAAAACCACAAACAAGAAGATCAAAAATAAAATGCAATATTTGCTAGTGTAAAAGTACATCTATTAGTTGAATTCCGTAAAAAAAAAAACATTTTCGTTTTTCTCGAAGTTATTTACTTTACATACATACATCTAAAACTACACCTCTCGTACGATTTTCAACATTGAAGCGTCAATTTTTACTTTGCATAAAAACGTGTTTGTGTATATTTTTGCGTTTGATTTTTAAACGGTTTCACCCACTAAAACACTTGCGTTTTTGAATACTTACACGTATATACAAAAACATAAATATACCTGTATGTAAACATAAATACATACTTACTTAGTACATATAAATTATTGCATTATTCTAACTCTTGCCTTCTTTCTCTATCAATATATATATATATATACAATACTACAAACATACATAACTCTATGAGTAATACACATATATATATATATGTATTTTTTTGGTTCGAATTACAATTTCAATTACTAACCAATTACTAAATATATCCACCGCTATTTGTTATTTACATACTAACTTCTATTTATTTATTGTTTGTTATTGATTGTTCAAATACATATTTACTTACTAACTACTTACATATACATACATACTTGTATACATACTAACTATCTATAATTATGCATACTAATATACGTACATATATTTACATATATATATAAATTTGTTGATTGAAAACATGCCATACCGATTATAATTTTTTAGGACAAGTCATCGAATCAGGCTATGTCCTTGGCAATATTACGAGTGATACGATTAGTTCGAGTATTTCGAATATTTAAGTTATCTAGGCATTCGAAGGGTTTACAAATTTTAGGACGAACTCTGAAAGCCTCAATGCGGGAATTAGGTTTACTTATATTTTTCTTATTTATAGGTAAGTTCCAGCGAAGAAAAAAACAAATTCAAAAACTAAAACAAGCAACACAACAAAATCCAAAAACCAAACCAAAAAAAAAACAAACAAAACTACCAACACACCTATATACACGCATCCATCAAAAACAAAAATTACAACAACTACAAAAATTTACGCATATACTATTTAACCCTTGAATTCTTGACTACCAAGTAAACCATTTAACCATAAATACCAGTACTACCAATACAACTAAACTACTAAATACTACCACTACAACATATCACCCTAATTGTAGCTGGGTTAGAGCCACAATACATGCACACAGCACACACATACATACCCCTGGTACCATGAAAACACCTGTTGCTCCAAATGTTCAAAATGCCAAAAACAAAAAAACAAGAAACAACCACAACAACACAAAACAAAACACAACAAGGCACGGCCCAAAAACAAACCCCGTATCAGGTCCAATCAAATTAAGCTCTATTTTTTGTTCTCTTTCATTCATTTATGAAAATTTCACGCCACAGAAAATGGTTGAATAAAAGAAGTTTTTTTTGAAATTTCCATGCCACTTGTGTGGCGCTCGGAAGTTTCTATTATTTAATACTGAAATCAATAAAAAGCTCAAATCCAAACGACAATGAGAGGATGAAAGAAAGGAAGGCATAGTTTGACTCGCAGTGCTTCGAGAGCAGAATCATATTTAAAGCTGTTCAGGGAAGTAAAAAATAGTCTACTAAGCTGAGAATAAGCTCATGATTAACAGAGCATTCTTTTAAAAAATTTCTAAATCTGACAGAAAATTTGAGTGGAGGAATGTTTCCTTTTTAAGGCCGTTTCCAAAAACTGCAGTGTAACTTTAAAACTACTATCGACTTAAAAAGTTTTCAAATCTTGAAAATCAATCAGGACGATCTGACTATATAAGTAATTTCATTAAGTTTCGCTAGATATGTATTTAAAAAAAAATATTAACTTTTTATATCTGTAGTCGGGAGACCATAACGAATACATATTTCATTTTACAAAAAAAAAAAACACGTATTCGCTTTTTAACATTTTGAGTAAGAAAACCCATCAGAATTTGCTTTTATTTTATAGAACAAAAAGGATAACGCAATTTCTGCGATATTTTTAACATATTCATAAAAACAAAAAAACACAAATATTTCGCGAAATTCCGAACGAAATGTGAAAAATTTCCACAATACTCCGGAAAAATTCGATAACTCTCAATTTTATCCAACAAAAGTATTATACTTTAACGAGAATAAGCCAAAACCAAATAAAACCCCTAACAAATTTGAAACGAAAAACCGAAACAACCCAAAAAAAATCCGAAAATATGCAAAGTCTCCTAAAATATTCCCTCGAGAGCCTTGAAAAAGTAGCTTGTGATAACGAGACCAAGCCTAGACCAGATAAAATTCCAAAATACCCAAAATTTTCCAAAACTTTCAAAATAATTCCAAATAACTACCTTGAGTTACCGAAAATAAAAATATATCTTAAGAGCATCGCGAGAATTCCAAAAAGATCCCAAATGATCCCTACCAAAATAAAAAACAAATTTGTCAAATGTCCCGAAATAAACCCATTCAACTTTCTACAGCTCCCAAAAAATACCTCGAGTTACCAAAAAAAAATGTAACCCAAAGAAAATCTCGAAATAGTCGAACAAATCAATAATTGTTCTTTTTTTTGGGATATCACCGGGAAAACCTTCCCCTCAAAACTCTGTAGAGCACCGCTCTTATTAGTTTGCAGCAGACGGCAGCGGCAAAGTTCTGAACATCTACATTCGTCTTAACGATCGGTCAGTTTCCCCTAAAATGCATGGAGAGGTCAGACTCCACACTTAAACTAATTAGGTTATCAACCAGACAAATACATATACTGAGACTGTCATTCATAGCCTCACTACGGAAACCAAAAGGCTCTGAAGTCAAAAAGCATAGCCCATTGTGCTTTTATATGTAGAAGTGATGGGCAAATAGAGCTTTTATATATAGAAAGCTCCAAAAAGCTCTGCACGCGGGCAAGGCGGGACTTTTGACTCGCCATGTAGGGCAATAAAAGAAGCTATCTTAAGGAGGGGATCTTAATTTTGTTACCAACAAGCCGATTAAAGCTTTGTTTGCTTGTTTACGACAGTTTGGTAGAGCATTGCGTATCCCTTCCAAAATAAAGTACCTACTGATTTTTTAACACCGTAGTTAAGCCAATATCCTTACTACGGTGTACTAAAGCTACAAAAGGAACTAAAAGCATAAAACTAAGTTAATAGCACCGGATGGTGGCAATTAGCATAACCGGACCAATGAAGACCTGCTTTGTTGATGGACTTATTGTCTTGGTTGCAATACTTCTTCCAATCCTAAGAGAAAAAAATAGGCAGCTTCCACGAAATTGAGAATTCGTAGCACTTCCTACTTCAACATCTAAAACGTGGCAGGCTATATTTATAAAGATTCTATTGAAATTCTCTAATTACGACTTATTACATATGCGCGACACAATTCCTAAACAAACTATAAATCACAAGGAAATTTTAAAAACTTGGTATTGTACCTTTGGGTCGAACTTCAAACAATCAGTTCGAATGGGCAGCTTCTTCTTCTTCTTTGGCTCTATAACCGCCTAAGCGATTTTGGCCAAGTCCTTCTCCACTTCGTCTTTCCATCTCAGCGGGGGCCTCCCTCTTCCCCGGCTACCACCATTATTGAAGCAGAGATTCTTGCAATAGCTCTCGTCAGGCTTTTACTCGTTCGCCCAGGTGGAGTCACGCTTAATCCATTTGAAAATTTGGAAAGATAATAGCCCAACTCAGAGATGGCGGTATTGATAGCCTAATCAACCAGTAACATTTTTATGGATACTTTTTACAAATAATAAAAAATTAAGAGAAGCTAACCGTTATTTTCCGCTTATTTGGTCTCAAAAAAACAGCAAATGTTATGGATTTTTCTTGCTCAAAATATTATAAATCAAAACATTTTAATTTGAAAGAAAATCAAATTCTACAATAGGAATGGCATCGTCAAAGGCATCGGCACGAGAATTATTTCACAGTGTCTGTCTGGTTTCAAAATGATAATTTTTAATTAAAGAATCTTAGGCTAAGTTTCATTTTGTTTAAGCTTTACTTAAAAAAAGATTAAAATCCTTAGGCGATCAGTAATTTGGTTGATCAACCTAACCCGTGGTATTACCATGAATTTTCATATTTGTTCGCCTTAATTTACTTTTATCTGCTGCGCTTATACGCATTTATAAAATCCAATAAATTTAAAAGTAATTATGTTAATTTTTTTGATTCAATTGCCACTTAAGGAGGCGATTTTTCAATAAAAACTGCAGTTACCTGACTACTAATTCATCTTGACTTCAGTACAATATTTGTAAAAAGGAATGCAAATTAAATTTTAATAAAAATGTCTATAATCAAAGGGGGAATTTGAGCTTTTTACTGATTTCTGTGAACTCTTAAAAAAAAGTAAAAAGCTATGCAAAAATGCAAACACATGCACTATACCAATAATTTCTTTCGAACCCCATTTTTTACGTTACCCTCCCTCCGCCTAAGTCCACTTTAAGCTTGCAAAATAAAAAATTAATAAAAAACAATTGGAAAGTATACCAAAAAAAAAAACACTTTAATTTCCATATTTTCTAAAATTACCGCTTCTTCTATAAATATCAAAAATATAGTAAACTTAAAAATATTAAAGATGGCAAAACAAGCGTAAAAAATAAAATACTAATTTGTACTGTACCTTTGAGTGTAAAAATTAGCAAAAATTAAAAGACAAAAAAAACAACATAAATTACAAAGAAATTCAAAATTAAAAACAAAAATGCTAGTGCTTGGGAAAGTACTTTCCAAAGTACTTCACAAAGTACTTTTAAAAGTGCTTCCCAAATCTTTACCCGCTAACGCAGACTAAGGCAGGCGTCTAAAAATGATGAAGCAAAAAAATGATGATTACTCGTAATTTTGGTGCTTGTAAAATAACAACAATCATATGTAGTTGTTATTTTTTTTTCTTAAAACATATTTGCAAATACATATAAATAAACTTAATTTTATATGTCAATGTATAGTGCAAAATTGTATGTAGGTGTAGGTGTTAGGTATTTACTATTAAGCAAGCATAGTTTTAGGCGGATAAATATTATTTCAAAATATAGTAGATAGCGGTAAAATGTTATTATTAATGAAAAGTAAAGCATACTTTTACGTACATACATAAATACATATATAGTAGTGAACTAGGCACTCACTCATCTATGTCTATGCTGATTGTATGAAAAAAACAAAACACTGTGATCACCAAAAAAAAAAACGAACAGTGTATGTATTTGAATAAAAAAACGTTCAACAGCGCTAAAACCGGACAGCTAAGCGCTCTCATACATATACACTTACGAATATACATACATATTTATATAGTAGGGTGCTCCTTAAAATATCTACAACCATATTTCGTAAATCTGGCACCCCTCTATTTGTTCTACGTACAAAATAAAGACATTCTTGAGAATTTCAAAAGTTTCAACAAATTTTTTGGGGTCGCTACTAGGGTTTGAAAAAATTTTATTTTCTTTTTATAATCGCAAAAATTCGACAAAATTGTAAGTTTGACCAGCTTTAACTTCTAAGCTTGTTCAAACTTATTCATATTTATAAATTCATAAACTCGCTGGGCAAAGTCAAAATTTTTCCGAATTTTTTTATTTATTTTTCTTAATTTTTCAAACCCTGGTAGCACCTCTAAAAAATTTCTCTTTTAATTTTGAAATTTTCGTATAGTTATGCATGTCTTTATTTTGGACGTGGTACAAAATTATGCGGTGCACCATGATGTTGATATTTTATGGACCACCCTACTATATAATATAGTAAACCATTCGCGCTCTTCTATACTTTTTTTAACTATTACATATCTGCGTCCATTGAGGCCTATATATATGCATAAATAGTATGTACGTTCATACATAAGTATAAA